ACTTTTGAGAGCATGCATGTGTACATATACTGTGAGCATGCACAAGTGAGAACACACATGTCTTTGTACTGGCAGAGAAGCCTTTCTGTCTAAGCACAGGGGCATAAGGAGGGGGAAATTTTTATTAGCCTTCTCACCAGAAATGCTCAAGCCTACAAAGAGGAGGGATGTTTGTGGTTGCTGGGGAACATCTGAAATTCCAATGAACATTGGTCTCAACTTCGTTCTACCTCAGGAGCATGCCCTGTGCTACAGGGCTGCTGTCATGAAACCAAGCGTATTTAACCTACCTGTGACCCACTGACCTGAATTAATGGCTCAGAGGCCCCTTTGGCACTACCCTGTTGTTTACATGCATAGCCACACCAATTTGTATCAGATATAAGGCTCTCGTGGTTGCGAATGACCCTGACCCAATTCCAACCAGTGAAAGAAAGAAGCAATATATTGATACATAATCATCAAACCACTGAAAGGGCAGGGATGCAAATGACCTTATGAACAACTTCTAAAACTCCATCTTTCATCTTAACGTTTCTCTTTATGTCAGTTGTATTTTCCCAATTAGCTTATTCTTGCCAAGAGGGACCATGCCACAGGCAAGTTTGGAGTCACATCTTTTCCAGGTTTACTGTTACTAGAGAAGTTCAATCTGGGAAACTCTTAGCCAGATTATTTGAAAAATTTTGGGGGAAGATCTTTAATTGAGCTGTCTTGAGTCACTTGTTCAACTATAAAGGAATCAGTGGGGCCAGAGATGGGAAACTATTACTAGTCTAGCCTGAGCCACATGTCCACCTTTGTGGCCTGAGGAGAGGGACACTGTAATTGCTGTTTCTTATCAGGACCACTTTGGTGGAGGTGGGGAGAAGTGGTTTTCCAACTAATAGATATCCTGTTCAAGCAGTTAAAATAACTCACCATGCCCATGAAAAGTTTAAAAAGGTGCATAAAGTTCCATCTTTATATGTATATACTCTATTGATTGTGATTGTTTATGTCTTCTATCCCCTTAGTAATTTTGTATACATTTGATTTATCTTGCGCTGAAAGTTGTGTCTGGCTATGCTTCTGTCTATGTATCCGTACATTTCTTCTTTTTTATTTCATAAAGGTGAGTACTAGATTTCATTAGAAGCCGCTCACTTTCCTTTCTTGGGCTCTTCTGCTGCCCTTTCTGGCCCTCATTCTCAAATCTCCTTCAGTCCCTGATTTCTGCTATTCATGCCATGGGTATTATCTGCTGGCCTACTTTATCGACTCTCTAAAGATGGGCAATAATAACAATGACCATTTCTGGGCTAATTACAGTGCTATGTGTCATACATGCCTTATTTAATTTACTCCTCATTCTTTTTTTTATTTTTTTTTTTTATTAAATCATAGCTGTGTGCATTAATGCAGTCATAGGGTACAGTGTGCTGGTTTTATATACAATTTGAAATATTTTCACCTCACTGGTTAACATAGCCTTCATGGCATTTTCTTAGTTATTGTGTTAAGACATTTATATTCTACATTTAGAAAGTTTCACATGGACCCTTGTAAGATGGACATAGGTATGGTCTCGTCAATCACCCTCCCTCCACCCACCTTCCGCCTCCTCACCCCCCCTTCCCCATATTCTTGGGCTATAATTGGGTTACAGCTTTCATATGAAAGCTATAAATTAGTTTCATGACAGGGCTGAGTACATTGGATACTTTTTCTTCCATTCCTGAGATACTTTGCTAAGAACAATATGTTCCAGCTCCATCCATATAAACATGAAGGAGGTAAAGTCTCCACCTTTCTTTAAGGCTGCATAATATTCCATGGTGTACATATACCACAGTTTATTGATCCATTCATGGATCTATGTACACTTGGGCTTCTTCCATGATTTAGCAATTATGAATTGGGCTGCAATAAACATTCTGGTATAAATGTCTTTGTTGTAATGTGATTTTTGGTCTTCTAGATATATACCTAGTAGAGGAATTATAGGATTAAATGGCAGGTCTATTTTTAGTCCTCTAAGTGTTCTCCAAACATCTTTCCAAAAGGGACATATTAGTTTGCATTCCCACCAGCACTGTAGAAGTGCTCCCTTTCCTCCACATCCACACCAGCATCTCTGGTTTTGGGATTCTGTGATGTGGGCTAATCTCACTGGAGTTAGATGATATCTCAAAGTAGTTTTGATTTGGATTTCTCTGATGATTAAGGATGGTGAGCATTTTTTCATATGTCTGTAGGCCGTGCGCCTGTCTTCTTCAGAGAAGCTTCTCTTCAAGTCCCTTGTCACTTGTTCTTTTCTTGCTAATAAGGTTGAGTTCTCTATGGATTCTGGTTATTAAACCTTTGTCAGAGACATAACCTGCAAATACCTTCTCCCATTCTGAGAGCTGTCTGCTTGCTTTACTTACTGTGTTCTTGGCTGTGCAGAAGTTTTTCAGTTTTATCAGATCCCAGTAGTGTACTTTTGATGTTGCTTCAGTTGCCCTAGGGGTCCACCTCATAAAATTTGCCCCCAGGCTGATTTCTTCAAGTGTTTTCCCAACACTTTCTTCTAGTATTTTTATAGTTTCATGTCTTAAGTTTAAATCTTTAATCCAGTCAGAGTCTATCTTAGTTAATGTTGAAAGGTGTGGGTCCAGTTTCAGTCTTCTACAGGTCACCAGCCAGTTTGCCGAGCACCATTTGTTAAATAGGGAATCTTTTCCCCACTCAATGCTTTTAATTGGCTTGTCAAAGATCAGATAATGGTAAGTAGCTGGCTCTCTATTCTGTTCCATACATCTACCTCTCTATTTTTGTGCCAGTACCATGCTGTTTGATCACTATGGATTTATAGTATAATCTAAGATCTGGTAGCATGATTTCTCCTGCTTTGTTTTTATTCCTGAGTAATGTCTTGGCTATTTGAGTTTTTTTCTGATTCCATATAAAATGAAGTATTATTTTTTTTTTTTGAGATCTTTAAAGCATGACAGTGGGACTTTAATAGGGATTGCATTAAAATTATATATTGCTTTGGGTAGTATTGACATTTTAACAATGTTGATTCTTCCCAGCCACGAACATGGTATGTTTTTCCATTTGTTTTATGCCTGGTCAGAGGGTGCCGTGGCACACCAGTGGGGATAGGAGGTCCAGTTTTTAGGGGGTCTCTCCCGTGGGATAGAGTGGGAGGAAGTATGAACTCTGCTCCCTTGTTTGCATGGAGTAAACTGTGAGCCCTTGTTGTGGCAGAAGAGACTCCCGTCCGCTTGGTGGTAGATTTTGTACCTTTTGATTGTATTTTGGGGGTCACAGCTCGCATCAGGAAGGTTGAAGTACACTCTTCAATCTTCTCTCTTGGCTCTGCTCCAAACCATCAGCTAACTTGCTAAACTTCTGTCCTTTAAGCCTCCTTCTGGAGGGGAGCTTCTGTAAAAAGCTGGCTGCAGTCCGCCATCTTGGCTCCGCCCCCTGTTTTTCCATTTGTTAACATTTTCTTTCTCTTTTTTTTTTTTTTTGGAAGAAAATCACTTTATTCTAATTACTTCACAAATAATATCACAACAAGTGGTTTAAGGAAGCCACAGCAGCATCTGCCCCCAATCCTTTACCATCTCAGTGAACCACTACACACTAAGAACACACTCTTCCACTACCATTCTGAAGAAAGGAAGCTATTAATAAGAGAGGTTTAACTGATGGTTTTACCCTTTATACTTTCATTATCAATTACATTTTTATGCTAAATTAACTTGGTCTTGAAAGGTGATTTTCCTTTTCTTCAATTTGTATTTCTTGATTAGGATAATCTATTTGCAAGTTTGCATTGTTTCAGCACCTCATTGAATCCCTCACATAGCTTTTTATCAGTCTGGTTCTGGGCACATTCCAAAAGCCATTTCATCTCACAGAAGCAAGGGCCAACCTGCTGCTGCTGTGCTGGCTGGCTTCCAAGAGGCTCCTGGTAAGTGATGTCAGGGTTTGAGGGCTCAGCATTACATCCTCCACTGAAGCCCCCAGTGGTGGCATAACCCAGAGTGTGCCCAACTACAGAGCCCACAGCCACACCAGCTGCAGTAGCAGCCATTTGGGCCATCAGACCAGGCTGCCAGGGTGCAGCAGTAGGTGAGCCAACTGCATATGTTGGGGCTGCTGCTGGTGGCTGAGCTGCTGGTGCTGGCCTGGGTGCAGTTCTCATCTGAGGTGCCCGGCTGGCCGGAGGGGCCATGTGGGAGGTGTGGCTTCGGCTTCCACGCAGCATTGCAACTGTGCAGAGTGTCGGCGTCTAGAGCTGAGGAAATCTGCAAAACATTTGTTAACATTGTCAGCTATTTCTTGTCTTAGAGTTTCATAGTTCTCTTTATAGGGATCTCTCACATCCTTTGTTAGTTAAACCCAAATATTTCATCTGCTTTGGCACTACTGTGAATGGAATAGAGTCCTTGACTGTTTTTTAGAATTTACTCCTCATCCTAGCACCATTCAGAAGCTTCTATTACTTTTCTCTTTAAAATTTTTGATACATAACCATTATACATATGTTTAGGGTACATGCGATATTTTGATACATGCATGCAAAGTATAATGATCAAATCAGAGTATTTAAGGTATCCATCACCTCGAACATTTATCATTTCTTTGTGTTGGGAACATTTCCAATCTTCCCTTCTAGCTATTTTGAAATGTACAATATATTGCTCTTAACTATAGTCAGCCCTCTGTGCTATCAAACACTAGAACTTATTCCTTCTACCTAACTGTGTTTCCACCCATTAATCAACCTCTTTTCATAACCACCTCCCCCCAACCCTTCCCAGCCTCTGATAATTATAATTCTGCTCTCTACTCGCATGAGATTCAGCCCTTTTAGTTCCTCCATATGAATAAGAACATACAATATCTGTCTTTCCATTCCAGGCTTATTGCCCTCCAATTCCATCCATGCAAGGTGTCTATTACTATGTTTTACAGATGAGGAACCTAAAATACAGAAACTTTAATGTGCCCAAGAGTCACCCCCCTGGTAAATGGTGGATCCAAGATCTCAACCCAGTCTGGCTCCAGATCTATGTTTTGTGATATATGTAAACGCACAGAAAAAGAACTCAAGGGACATATGCCAGACTGTTTGAGAGCCATTACCTCCAAAGAGGAGAACAGGATGGGGAGTACCCATAAGGGTCAGTCATATTTTAACCTAGAAATGTCTACATTTAACTCATTCACAAGGAAATAGTTTAGGTAGTAGTTGTGTATGTTTTTCCTATTTTTATAGTGGTGATACATAAAAAACTTGAAGTGTATCATTTTGACCCTTTATGAGTGTATAGGTCAGTAGCATTAAATACATTCACATTGTCGGACAGCCTTCACACCATCACATCCATATCCAAAATAATTCCAGAATCCCAAACTGAAACTCTGTACCAATCTCATTCCTCCACTCTGCCCAGCCCCCGGCAACCACCATTCTAGTTTCTGCCTTCATGAATTTGGCTACTCTAAGTGCCTCATACAGTGAATTATACAATATACAGCTTTTATTAGCATAATGATTTCAAAGATGATTCACGTCGTAGTATGCATCAGAATTTCCTTCTGTTTTAAGGCTGAATAAATTACGTTCCATCATGTGCATACATCACATCTTGTTTATACATTCATCTATCTATGGAGTTTAGGTTGTTTCCACTTATTGGCTATTGTAAAAAATGCTGCTATGAACATTAGCGTACAAACAGTTGTGTGATTTTTAAAACTATGAAAAACAATACTTGCAGAATGATCCTATTTATGTGTAGTGTGTGTGTGTCATATATATGTATGTAAATGCATACAAAGAGATTGAGAGATGCACATCAAACTTCTGAGTCAACATCTCCAGAGTAGGAGTAGAGAGGGTTGTGAAAGGAAAAGTGTCTATAAATTTTTATTATGTATATGTCTGGGTTTTTCTGTACTTTTCATAATAAAAATGAATTAATATATTACTTACACAATTTCAAAATGTGATTTTAAAAAAATGAAGATTTTCCTGGCATCTTAGCAGGCTATGTGTAAGGAATTTTAAAGGGTTCAGAAGAACTTAAAGGAGAAATGAAATATGAAATACTTCTGTGTGATTTGAAGGTTTTATAAGATATATATTTTTTTTTTATTAAAAGATCTAATGAGCTCAGCGCCTGTGGCTCAAGTGGCTAAGGCACCAGCCACATACACCTAAGCTGGCAGGTTCAAATCCAGCCTGGGCCCGCCAAACAATAATGACGGTTTGCAACCAAAAGATAGCCAGGCGTTGTGGCAGGCGCCTGTGGTCCCAGCTACTTGGGAGGCTGAGGCAGGAGACTCGCTTGAGCCCAGGAGTTGGAGGTTGCTGTGAGCTGTGATGCCACAGCACTCTACCCAGGGTGACAGCTTGAGGCTCTGTCTCAAAAAAAAAAAAAAGACCTAATGGAGCTGGGCATTGTGGTGGGTGCCTGTAGTCCCAGCTATTCGGGAGGCTGAGGCAGGAGAATTGCCTAAGCCCAAGAGCTGGAGGTTGCTGTGAGCTGTGACAGCACGGCAGGGCACTCTACCAAGTGTAACAAACTGAGCCTCTGTCTCTAAAAAAAAAAATCTAATGGAAGGGCGGCACCTGTGGCTCAAGGAGTAGGCCACCAGCCCCATAGACTGGGGGTGACAGGTTCAAGCCCGGCCCTGGCCAAAACTGCAAACCATCACATCAAAAAAAAAAAAATCTAATGTTAAAGGTCAAAGACCTGGGGTGGAACTGCACTATCTACTGAGGCCCAGAGGAGAGCAATAGAGAGACACAAGGGGACAACTCCAAAAAAGAGGTCCCTCCCTCCCACCTGGAAGAGGGTGAAGGTTCAAACTTGTTGTGTGGGTTCTGAGAAGAGCAGCGAGAAGGTTGGGTACTATTGATTCCTCTGGGAATGGTGCTGGCCAGACATTGGGAACAAGGCAATCAGATATACTGGGAAAAATCAGAAAAGTGGCAAAGGTTCAACTCTGGAGTTCTACTATGGGAGAAAACAGCAGTACGTGGTCTCTGTTGAGGATGATCAAAGGGACCCAGGAGTAGCTCCGTGGGACAAATGACCTGTGAAAGAGATTTCTAGGGGCCTTGGGGAAAGACCTTGTTTAGAAGCCCCATGTTAAATCCTTGAACCCTGCCCTTCTGCCTTTTAAAGTGGACAAAGATAAACACGGCCCAGAAGACTAAGGACACAAAGCTGGGACTAAGGTGAGAGGAGTGAGACAGGCCATGCAGGTGGAGGATCAGACCATCTCTGTATTTTAAATGTTTGCTAATTTGTTTGTCACGAGTTTTTTGCATTAATTTTTATTTCTTAAATATTGCATGAAAATAATATTTATTTTGATTACTGAGGGTTTTTTGTTTTGTTTTGTTTGAGACAGAGCCTCAAGCTGTCACCCTTGGTAGGGTGCTGTGGCATCACAGCTCACAGCAGCTTACAGCAACCTCCAACTCCTGGGCTCAAGCAATTCTCCTGCCTCTGCCTCCCAAGTAGCTGGGACTACAGGCACCCACCACAATACCTGGCTATTTTTTGGTTGCAGTCATCGTTGTTGTTTGGCAGACCTGGGCTGGATTCGAACTGTCCAGCTCAGGTATATGTGGCTGGTGCCTTAGCCGGTTGAGCCACAGGCGCTGAGCCAAGAAAGGTGGTTTTATAGGGCATCTATAATGCACAGTTTTAATCAAAATTCTACCCCAGAATTTCTGAGTGAAATGAATAATTACTAACATGCCCATCATGTAATCTTGCAAATGAAATAAAATCATATAAATCTTTTTTTAAAGCCAAAATAAAAGTGTGTCTGTATCCATTGTGAATATGAAGTTAACGTTCCAATTAATTTCAAAGCTCTTTCTGAAATGTTGGCTTTAAGATATTTGCCTATCATTTATTACTAGGGGGAAAAACCTGATTTTTAAAAAAGTTGACAGTTTTTTTTTTTAACTTTATAAGCTCTACTCAAATTTTAAAAAGATATTTATCCTAAAACCATAAAATAACATTTTCTGATCTTTATAGAGTTAAAAGGTATTTGAGGAGCAGGATTATTTAGAGCTTCAGGGTAAAAGTGACTTGTATTTTCCAATGAATATTTAATTTTGTTCTATTCCAATGGCCCCAAGTGCATTTCACTGGGCATGTTCTTTCATCTATTTTCTATTCATTTTAGAGATGAGGAAATAGACTTAAAGAAAGGCCTTTAGCACACACCTTTACAGGGCATGTTCTTTCATCTCTTTTCTATGCATTTTAGAGATGAGGAAATAGACTTAAAGAAAAGTCTTTAGCACACACCCCTTTTGTAATCTGGTCCCTGTTGACCCACTCTTATTTTATTTCCTTATCCACCCTCCCCTACCCCCAGCCCTAGACATTATTCATTTTGGCCATATATGGAAATGAACTTCCCTCAACCTTGCTTTCCACACAATAATTTCTGTCTGAAATGTTATGTCCTTTCCTTCCTTTTTGGATTCAAGGTCGACCTACCTACTCATACTAAACAAAACAAAATCCCAAGTTAAAGGTCATCTCCTCCTGGGGTTGCCATTCTAAATAGAAACTCCTTTGTGTGGGTATCTTTTTAGCATAGGGTGACCAAATTTTAACATTTGTAAAGCCGGACAACATGGGGGGCGGGGCAGGGGACTGGGCAGAGCAGGGCCTGACAACAATGTAAACTTTGATAAGCAGTTCTCCATAATCACTTCTCAACAATTATTTGTTATTATTACAGTTTAACATTATAAAATTAACAAAAATAACATAAAACTCATATTCTGGAGAAATAGCCACATGGCAGCCGAAAATCGTATATTCCCTTCCTGTTCTCCCGCCCATTCGTGCATTCTTTCCAAAAATCGGGACTTTTTTAAAACACCACGGGATGCGGGACAAATTGTTAAAAAGCAGGACTGTCCCGCCAAAAGCAGGACGTCTGGTCACCCTATTTTAGCACCATAGCCCACTTTACAGTACATACCCCACTGTCTAGTGATTGGTTATATACTAGGTACTAGGAATACATGTCCGTATTCCTCATTAGATTCCGAACTCATCAAATATAGGGACTATATCTATCAGAATATTCACTGCCTAACACACAGCTTTTTGACACATAATAGACACTCAATACTCTTTTGTAGAACAAATGAATTACCATTATCAGACCAAACTGAAGTCCACAAGCTCAGCACAGACAGGCCAAACACTGAAGCTGAAAACTGCAGTGGTGGAAAGAGACTGAATTTACAAGGTGCCACAAAAGGAGAACAAGCAGCTTATACTTAAAACTCCCCATGGTGGCGTGATGGCATACTGTTGTAGGAAGACAAAGCCCAGCAGAGAGAAAGAACACCCAAACACCGTGTTTAAAAGAGGAGGGACTTTATTCCAGCCTGTGGAGCATTAGCAGACCAGAGTCTAAAAATGGCTGCCCTCTCTGACTGGCTCAGCCTTCTTCTTTTTATCCCCAGTCAAAAAGTTCCAACCCATGAGTACCTTTCCCATTGGTCATTTGAATCAAGTTGGAGAAGCTGGCTTGGGCTTTTACAGAGAGGGAAGCAAGCCCTAGTTTCCAGGTCTCAGGAAGTTAAGTTTCTACAAATTCATAAGAGCTGAGTCACTATGGGGAGGACTTTGGCAGGTGTATCTTTGGGGTCTCCTTGAGAAGACCTCTGTTCTCTTAGACCTCACCTTTTTCTGGGTATCCTCTCTCAATACAAGTTGGGGTTTTTAAAGGCAGGGGTACATTTCAGGTAGGCAAAATTGCAAATCAATACATAGAGGTTACATATTGATCTGGCCCAAAAAGGTAGGCTAGCCTGAAGTAAAAGGAGCATAGATGGATTCAGAGATTCTTGGATTAGCAGAAAGTAATCTTAAAAATAGATATGACAGGGCTGGGAGCCCATAGCTCAGTGGTTACAGTGCCAGCCACATACACTGAGGGTGGTGGGTTTAGGCCTACCCCAGGCCAGCTAAACAACTGCATTGAAAAAATAGCTGGGCGTTGTGGTGAGCACCTGTAGTCCCAGATACTTGGGAGGCTGATGCAGGAGAATCACTTAAGCCCAGGAGTTGGAGGTTGCTGTGAGCTGTGATGCCACAGTACTCAACTGAGGGGGACATGGTGAGACTCTGTCTCAAAAAAAAAAAATGGGTATGACAGGCCCCTCGGGGAAAATTTAGAACAAAGAATGGTGACCATAGTTCAATTCCTCAATTCTCTCCTAATCTGCATTTTCCTTCCCATGGGGATTTCTGAAAAACAACATAAGAACATATGTTAAGATGCCATCTTTTAGTCTCCCCTAGGGAACCAAAACATCTGGAGACTCTGGCTCTCTGGGAAGGCCTTTGTTTTCACCAGGTTGCCCATTCACTTTTCAAAGCTAGCCAGGTATCCTGATTTCCCCTGAAGGAACTCAAGATTTTTTTATTTCCATGTATGAGGGTCCCCCCTGACAGGCCCATTAGAGGGGCCGCAGCTCAGTTTCATTCTCCTTTATATCTCTCTTCCCCTCGTGCCCCAATATCCTACCCATCATCAAGTCCTAGTCATTCAACCATCAAAATATTTCTAAAATTAGTCCACTTTTTCCATTATTATCCTACTTCAAGCCACCATCTTCTCTTACTTAAACCACTGTAATAGCCTTTTAATTGTCTTACTGCTGTTACACTTTTGCCTCTCCAACCTAATCCCCATACCACAGCCAGAATCATTTTTTTCTAAAAGATAGATCTTATCATGTCACTCCCTAGCTAAAAACTCTATTATTCTCCATTATTCTTAGAATAAAGTCCAATGTTTTTAATTTGATCTACAAGGCCCAAACTTCTCTGACCTCAACTCCCTCACTTTCTTTTGGTTTATTCAAATTGCTACTCTTTCTTCCACCACAGTGCCTTTGCACATGTGCCTCCTCCACTTAGAACATTTTTCTCTTTCCTTTTCTCATAATTCATTCCTACTCATCTTTCAGAACTCAGCCCCAGTATTGCTTCCTCAAGGAAGTTTCCCCTGACTCTCTTGATGAGATCAAACCCATTATTCTCAGCCGCCCTAGAACCTTTATAACATCTACCACTGCTTGTTTGGTTTAATGTCTGATTTTCAATCATTTCTGCCACTTAAACGCCATTGGCATATAAGAAGCTGACAATAAACATTTGAGAAAGACTTAGTAGAAATTTATGGCAATACACATAAAATTGAAAGAGCCAGTCTATTTAAGGTAATGAATTGTTCTTTCCTCCTTACCAGAGGACCCTGTAAATACACAACTTCTCCAGGGGAAATTTCCTACAAGTAGGCTGCCTTTGTTCATATGTGACACAGAAACGAGGGCAGGCAGAGTATAGCCTGAACAAAGGGAGATAGGAACATGTTCTAAGAAAGGGTTTCTGGATTGCTCTGCTTTAGGGGCCTAGACTTCAGAGTTCTGTGATGAGTCATCTCCTTAAACAGTGGGTACTGGTCCATTCATCCTCATACACAATGGCATAGAACTCAGCCATAAAAAGGAATGAAATAATGTCATTTGCAGCAACTTAGGTGGAACTGGAGACCATTATTCTCAGTAAAGAATCAATCTCAAGAATGGAAAAACAGATATCATTTCTCGCTAATAAGTGGGAGCTAAACAATGGGTACACAAGGGCATAAAGAGATGTAAGGGATATTGGAAATCAAGAAGGGGGAAGAATGAGAGATAAAAACTTACTTATTGGGTACAATGAACATTTCTTTGGTGATGAACACATGAAAAGCCCTAACTTAAGCATCATACAAGCTATCATGTAGGAAAAACATTTGTACCCCCTTTGTATTTTGAAATTAAAACAAAACAAAATGACAACAAAGCTTCATTTTTCCCTATCACCAGTCTGTCATTCACTTTGTTCTAGCCAAGACAAATATTAAATGGTCAGCTGTTAAATTTCCTTAAACTTGTATTCTAGCACCCTCTCCTCACAAGCACCAAATTCAAATATGTTTTCTTGTACCCTCCAAAACAAACAAAACGTAAAAGCAAAAGAAAGAAAATCAGTATATTGAAGAGGTATCTGCACGTTCATGTTTATCATAGCACTATTTGCAATAGGCAAGATGTGGAATCAACCTAAGTGTCCATCAGTGGATGAATGGATAAAGAAAATGGGGCATATATACATAATGGAATATTATTTATCCATGAAAACTGGAATCTTGTCATTTGCAGCAACATGGATGAGCCTGGAGGACATTATGTTAAGTAAAATAAACCAACTGCAGAAAGACAACTAAAAGTTTTAGCTCCAAATGTGAGGAATAAGAGTTGATCTCATGGAGATAGAGAGTAGAATGATAGTTATGATAGGCTGGGAATTTGGGGAAATGGTGAAGTGTAGTTAGTTAATGGTATAAACATACAGTTAGATAGAAGGTACAAGTTCTAGTATTTGATAGCACAGTAGGGTGACTATAATTATTAATAATTTATTGTATATTTCAAAATAGCAAGGAGAGATGATTTATTTATTTTTTATTTTTTTTAATTGCAACTTCAGGAAAAGTTCCTGCTTTATTATTCCAAATAATTTTTCCCATGTAAAATAAATGTCCAATAGTTCCTGGTATGTGGGAAGATAATGTTTGTTAAAGTCACAATGAAGACTTATTGACGGAAGCTTGGCTATATAAACAGCACAAGTTGAGAAAAGGTTTAATCTCCAAACCTATTAGACTGGATGAAGGAAGATCGGTAGCGGCCACCTTGCAACATTACAGGAGGTCTCATTCCCATCGGAGGTCGAGGAGGCCCACCTTGGTAAGGGGGTACCATTGGCCATCCCTGCCCATATGGCGGCATAGCACCAGGAAGGTAACCTGGCATGCCCTGACGATGACCACCATACTGACCATGAGGTGGCATTGGTGGTCTCATTCCTTGTTGCTGTGGGATGCCTGGTTGTGGTGGCATCATACCTCCAATTGGTCCAACTGGTGGATTACCAATGGGGGCCTGTCTTGGTCGAGGAAGATTACATTGATATTTAGGTAACTGTGCCCTTCTTTCCTCCAGTGATATATCCTCATCTGGATAGATCAACTTACGGGTTACACTAGTTGTCGTCAGTGTAGCAGGCTTACCTGTTATTGAAGTTGCTGATTTAGCTGCAGTACTATTTGTTGTACTAGTGGTTGAAGCTGTAGACTGTGTATAAGCAGGGAACGTAGGCTTTGGGGGTTCTGTAGTTGTTGCAGAAGTACTATTTAAAGGCTTGAAATCTGTACCAACAGGTCCTTGGACAGCTGCCTGAGCCTGTCCAGCACTTGGGAAAAGAGGCTTAGTAACAGGAGGCTGTGGCACAGGTACTGTTGCTATTATTGCAGGTGGTCTATTAAGAATACCTGGCACTGAAACAGCCTGTGCTTGGGTCATTGGAGGGATTCCAGGACGTGGAATGAGGGGATGCATACCTTGTGGCATCCCAGGCATCAGAGGTGGTATTCCTGGTCCAGGTGGCATCATTCCACCCATTGGCTTCATTATGTTTTCACCACAAAATGACTGGGTGTGTTTTCTCTGATGATGCAATCCAGGTGTCATGCCTGGCACAACTGGTGGCATTCCTGGCATCAATGGAGGTATGCCTGGAGGCATTCCTGGTGCTTCTGGAACTGGTGGCAGTCCTGGCTGTGCCACTGGGGGACTATAACCTTGTTGAGATTGAACAGGCTGTGGATGAAATGAAGTTGAGGCTGCAGAATCATCATCATCATCATACTCATCAGAACCATCTTGTTGCTTCTTTTTTTGACTTTTTTGTGTCTTCTGTTCAAGAAGTCGTCTTCTTCTTTCATCCATGTCTTTTTCTGGTATACCTTCCATACCATATATTTCCAACTCTATGTCTGTTCTCCCAGGTATTGCATTTGGTACAGCATCTATTGTCTCTTTATGTACCTGCATGCAATGAATAGCTAAGCCAGATCCTGTATACAATTTCTTATGACATATACGACATTTAAAATGCTTTGCTTTTTGGTGCTGTATAAGGATCTTCTCATCATCAAAATCTCTATTACAATACCAGCACCACGGCTTCAGCTGCTTCTTCTTCTTGCGACCCATAACTGCACTCTACCGACCAAGAAAAACAAAGAGAAAAACAGGGAAAATGAGAATATCGCTCACTTTTCCGACCCAAGGGCCACCACCGCGTCCCACAGGAAACAGACACAAAATGCAGGAGAGAAGATTTAGAATGTTCTCAATGAAAAATATTAAATGTTTCAGGTGATGGATATTCCAATTACCTTGGTTTGATTATTATATATTATATCATGTATCAAAAAATCACATGTACCCCATAAATATGTACTATTATTATATATCAATTTTTGAAATTTTTTGCAACAGTCTCACTCTATTGCCCTGGGTAGAGTGCTGTGGTGTCATCACAGCTCACAGCAACCTCAAAGTCTTAGGCTTAAGAGATCCTCTTGTCTCAGTCTCCTGAGTAGCTAGGACTAAAGGTGCCCACCACAACGCAAGGTTGGTTGTTCTATTTTTAGTAGAGACAGGGTCTCATTCTGGGTCAGGCTGATCTTGAACTCCTGAGCTCAAGCAATTCATCCACCTCAGCCTCCCAGAGTGGTAGGATTACAGGCACAAGCCACCAAGCCTGGCCAATTTTTGAATTTTTTTAATTTTTAAAAAAATTGGCTCAATGCCTGTAGCTCAGCTGCTAGGGTGCTGGCCATGTACACTGGGCTGGTGGGTTCGAACTCAGCCCAGGCCTGCCAAACAACAATGACAACTACAACCAAAAAATAGCCAGGTGCTGTGGCGGGCGCCTATACTCCTAGCTACTTGGAAGGCTGAGGCAAAAGAATTGCTTAAGCCCAAGAGTTTGAGGTTGCTTGTGAGCTGTCACACCGTGGCACTCTACTGAGGGCAACAAAGTAAGACTCTGTCTCAATAAATAAATAAATTTGTGTTGTTTGTAAGCCACCTAGTTTATGGTAATTTATTATTTCAGCCTGGATGGATTAAGACAGGAATTGGTACCAAGAAGGGAGATGCTACCATAATAAATATCTAAAACTACAAAAGCAGCTTCAGAACAGAGTGATGGGTAGAGGCTGGAAGTTTTGAAGTACATACTAGAAGCTGAGATAATTGTGAATGGACTTTTAAAATTTGATTAAAAGGCAGGCACACTTCCTCCTGCTTGTAATCCCAGTACTTTGGCAGGCCATGGCAGGATAACTCAAGGCCAGGAATTTAAGTCCAGCCTAGGGAACATAGTGAGACCCCCATCTCTACAAAATGTTAAAAAATTAGCAAGGTGGGTGGTGCCCATAGCTCAGTGGGTAGAGTGCCGGCCACATACACCGAGGTTGGCAGGTTTGAACCCAGCCAGCTAAAACAACAATGACAATTGCAACAACAACAAAAAACAGCCAAGTGTTGTGGTGAGCACCTGTAGCCCCAGCTACTCGGGAGGCTGAGGCAAGAGAATTGCTTAAGCCCAAGAGTTTGAGGTTGCTGTGAGCTGTGACATCACAGCACTCTATCCAGGGCAATACCTTGAGACTCTGTCTCAAAAAAAAAAAAAAATTAACAAGACATTGTGATGCATGCCTATAGTAGTAGCTACTAGGAAGGCTGAGAAAGAAGATCACTTAAGCCTAGGAATTCACGATGCCACAATGCCAGCTAGTTTTTGTTTTTGTTTTTCTTTTTGCAGTTTTTGGCCCTACTCCTTTGAGCCATAGGCACTGCCTGAATTCCAGCTAATTTTTAGAGACAGGGTCTCACTCTTGCTCAGGCTGGTCTTGCACTTCTGAGCTCAAGTGATCCACATGCCTCCGCCTCTGAGAGTGCTAGGATTAGAGGCCTGAGCCACCATGCCTGGCCTGAACAACAGAAATATATTTTTCACAGTTCTGGAAGCTAGAAGTTCATGATGCCAGCACAGTTGGGTTCTGGTGAGAGTCCTCGTCTGACTGCAGACTTCCGACTTCTCCTTGTATACTCAGATGGTGTAAAGAATGTGCTAGCTCTCAGGCCTCTTCCTGTAACACTAATCCCATTTGTGAGGGTCCCATCCTCGTGACCTAATTACCTCTCAAAGGCTTTAGCTCCAAATAACCTTATATACAGGATTAAATTTCAAACATATGAATTTTGAAGGTACACAAACAATCAGACCATAACAGGCTGCTAAGTATCCCTTGCCATTAATAAGAACAAATAGTTCTTCAATTTCTAGAGCTATCCCGTTTTCACTTACCCCTCTAAATACTTCCTTCTGTAATTAATAATGCTTCCCTTTTCTTGTTTTGAAGAACGCTTCCATTTTCTTGATCTGAAGGAGAAATAAATGACTAAAAATCTGTTGATAAAATGTTACAGAGAAGTTATGCTTTGCTTCCCCATGGTGAGATTATGTTGTCAGAATATGTCACAAAATGATGATGTCATAACCCCCTGGAACATGCTGAACCCTATAAAATCCAGGAGTTACCTTAGGAGAAGCGGCATTTGAACAAATCCCTGGACATGAATCTTTTTATTTATATCCTACTTTTGCCAATTTGGACACATCATTGTTTAAATACAACAATACAAAGTGATGGAGCTTCTAGTACAGGTATATGCTTAACCTTAAAGCTTATAAATTATGATATATATATGAATTCAAGCACTTAATTAGAAAAGCTAGCTGTGTTTAAGAAATCTGCCATTACTTTGGGGTTACCATTAGTAGGTCTTCCAGAGTTTCTGGAACAATAGCTGATATTTTGACTTCAGTGTGAAAAACCCAGGCAATCATAAAGAGTTAGACTTATTGTACCCTTTCACGCACCTTCCCCACACAATACTATGTGAAAGGATCTGGCATGGGACTTAATGCATAGTAATTTCTAGCAAGGGTTTGTTCTTGTTCCATCCCCTTCCCATCACACAGATTCACACACATGCACACACACACAGGTTATTTCTCAAGTCCACTCACACACGTGTGACATACACATACTGAAAAACCCAGGTAAGGCAATAAGCAAGCCATGAATCAGGGGTAACCCAGGTAATGGTTTGGATTAGCCGGAGATGCCTCCCAAATTTGACTTCTCCACTATAGCTAGGGACTTGACAGAGAGGAAAAAAAATCAGTGGGACACTTATAAAGATTTAAAAATTATTGATCTGATTTTGATCTATAGTGATAAACCGCTACCAAAGTGGAAGAAAACTTGGGTAGCTAACATCTTCTCTGATGATATAATCTCTTTGCAGGAGCTAAACCGTCTGAAACAATGGAGACAAAAATGGAAAGTTTTAGGAGACGTCTACTCATTATCGTGATTGGTGTTATGATCATAGCCTTTGTCTTTACCTGTTTCTGTTTCCTCCATTTTAATTGTATGAGTGATGATAACCCCAAAACAGCAGTGTAAGTATTACATCTACATATTAAGAATGCAAGGCATGTGTGTGTATGCATATAGTAGAAGTTTCATTGTTGTTCAGGTTACTTAATGTTAACCTTAGATTTCTAAAAAGCTGCCAACCTGTGGTGGGTGGATACCTTCACTTAAATTATATCAACTCTTAATTATTCTCAAGTATATTATCAATTTATCTAAGGCTGTCTCCTATTCAGGGTATAGCTATATCCCAGGTTACTAATTTAATTACAAATTCAGTGTAGGAAAAGAGGGTATCTGAATAAGAGTGGAAAGAATAAGAGGAAGAGAAAGAAAGAAGAAAGAAGAAGAAGCCTCCCGTAGCTGAGTGAGTAGGGTGCCAGCCACATACACCAAGGCTGGTAGGTTCGAGCCTGGCCTTGTTCTGGGCCTGCTAAACAACAATGACAACTGCAACCAAAAAATAGCTGGGTGTGTGGCAAGCTCCTGTAGTCCAAGCTACTTGGGAGGCTGAGGCAAGAGAATCCCTTAAGCCCAAGAGTTTGAGGTTGCTGTGATCTGTGACATTACAGCACTTTACAGAGTGTGATCAGGTAAGACTGTCTCAAAAAGAAAAAAGAAGAAGAGGAAGAGAGAGAGAGAGAGAAAATGAGAATTGGGTCTCTATTTTCCAAAGACAAGAAAACATTTTGGATACATCTGAGCATGTTGGCTCATGCCTGTAATTCTAGCACTCTGGCAGGCTAAGGTATGAGAATCACTTGAGGTCAAGTTCGAGGCCAGCCTGAGCAAGAGTGAGACCCGCATCTCTACTAAAAATATAATAAAGATATTAACTGGGCACAGTGGCACATGCCTGTAGACCCAGCTACTCTTGGACTGAGGCAGGAGGATCACTTGAGCCCAGAGTTTGCGGTTACTGTGAGCTAGGCTGAGGCTAGCCTTGGTGACAGAGCTAGACTCTGTCTCAAAAAATAATAAAAAATAAAACATAACTTTTTGGATAATCTCTCATTTAAGATTTAATAACCTGAAAAATTATTCATTGTTGTTATTCTCATGAGCTCAATCCGTTTTTTGTATTAGAAAATCAGATTGGCCTTAATAGACTAGCTCCCTAAAAATTTCCCAATCCAAGGACTTGTGACAAAAATGTGGTACCAGTGCTCTATTCCTTAATTTTAGAGGAATATTATGAATTTAAATATCAGTGAATAGATAACCCAATGTTGTAAGTATGATATAAAAACAATGACTTTGATCTAAAGAGGTTTTTATTTTCTTATGATGTGTTATCAGTTTGTGAATTTTTAATAAAAAGTTTAAATTCTGGAATAAGTAAGACATTTATCTCTTTCCCTCTCAACAGTAGATTTGAAATGACTTCGTGTTATTCTATATGTAAGCTATATGGTCATCTAATGTTGTCAAATTAGTAAAATATTTTTTAAGAAAAAGCATTAAACATGAGTTCATATCCTCAATTTGAGGCATGGCTTTCACCAAACTCCAATTCTTACTATGTTCAATTTTCCTACTAGAGGTCAAAAAAGACCAAAGATCTAAGCTGACACAGTATTCTATGTTTTCTGAAGTTATACTCCAAATTTTATATACTTTCAGGCTCAAGAAAGAAGGTATGGCACTCAAGACACCCAGGTCATCCAAAACGTCATTCAGTGAATCCAAGACAACCAGTCTGTATGATCCAGAAAAACAATGCACACTATCCACTCTAGACAATTTATGCAGGCCCTTGACTCCAGATAATTCATCCATACTATCCAGTGTGGAAAAGTTAAACATGCCATCAACTCCAGACAAATCATCCATACTATACAGTACAGAAAAATCAGGGGCATTGAGTCCAGAAAAGTCACCCATACCATCTAGTGCAGAAGAGTTTATCAGGCCATCAAGTCCACAAAAGTCATTCAAACCATCAAGCTCAAAAAAACAAATTAGATCATCTCACCTGGAAAAGTCATATACACTACATTCTCTAAAAAAATCATATAAGGTATCCCCTTCCCTCAAGAGAATCACTCAAGTCAGTTCATTCAATCCAAACAAGACAGTCAAGCCAGCTTGGCCAGCCAATCTACAATATGCAACCAGGTCATCATTCGAGACACGTTGTTCACCAAATCCACAAAATGCAATCTTGCCATACAAGCCATCCAGGGTACACAAATTGGCCAAAACACACAGACATCTTAAAAGTCCCGTGAGTACAGGCAAGATATTCATCCCTCAATTAGACATGACTTGTCAATGCTACAAGGGAAAATGCCTTATCTGCAAAACTTTTCCTGAGCCTTTGGTCGGTGATATTTCTGAGGCAAAGAAGAGAAAAGCTCAAAACCTATCTGGTTCAAGTAAAGAGAACCCTTTTCCCAGGTCCTTTCCTCAGGTAGCTTCCTGGAACGATGCAGACAATGACAATGTGAGTGACAGTGATCTGATGACATACAACAACACTGATGATGACAGTGATAGAGAGATAACCATTATTTGCAGCATGAGACAAACTGAAGCCATCCTTGAAAGTATGCCAAATAATTAAGGGCTCAATAAAATAAAATTCAACTGTGAAGGATCAAACTTATATCGACTATTTATGTTCATCATCTTTTAAGACGCTGATGGAGGGAAAAGCCACTTGTGATCACTACTGAGATCTCTATCATCTTGGAGGCTATTTTTAAAAAGTAATTAAATACATGGCATAACACATTATTATTGTAAATATCATTACATTTTAGAGCTCAAGGCTCTTTTGATGTTTCCTGCTTAGATCTTGTCACTTATCTGGGAGGCACAAACAAAGCTAGAAATGAATTACAAGATAGGTACCCTAGACTCCTCCTTCCCTTGGGTTAGCTCTCAACTGAAATCTCAATCCAATTAAGTTTAGTTTTTAATGTTTATGTGCAGTCCTCACGGGTTCCAGGCGACCTCAAACTACGACCCGCAGGCCACATGCAGCCCGCCTAGGACATTTATCTGGCCCCCCGGGTGTTTTTGCTGCCCTGTCTGTCTGGCTTAGCAGCCGACTCGTCCTGGGGCCTGCAGTCTGGCCCTCCAATGGCCTGAGGGACAGTGAACTGGCCCCCTATTTAAAAAGTTTGAGGACCCCTGGAAGACTATCTGTTTTTCTGTAGTACCCAGTGTTTCTTAAAAATAGCTTTGTGGCATGGACTGAATGTTTTTGTTCCCTCTAAATTCATAGTTTGAAACCTACTCCACTATATGATGGTATTAGGAGGTGGGGCCTTGGGAGGGTAATTAGATAATGAGGGTGGAGATCTCATGAATGAGATTAGCTCCCTTAGAAAGGGCTAAAGAGACCAGCATTCACTCCTTACACCATATGAAGACCCAGGAAAAAGACTCCATCTATCAACCACAGAGCCAATCCTCACCAGATACTCAATCTGGTGGTGTCTTGAACTTGGACTTCCCACACTTGAAAATTGGGAGCAAGAAATTTCTGTTGTTTATAAGCCACTTGGTTAATGGTATCTTGCTATAGCCACCTGAACAGACTAAGATATTCTGTGTGGCTTGCTTTTGGGTAAACTCTTGATATCCACTTCTAACACCCTTGCCTCTAGCAGTTGCTACTTAATGTGAAGGTCCAGTCTGCATTATCCACACCTACAGCAACATGATATTAGTCCAGTCTAAGTGTTCTAACCTTTACAGATCTCAAGAAAGATTTTCATTCTTTTTATTCGCCTTCACAATGGTCAAAGTTTTCCCTGGTATGCTTTCTTAAAATGTCCCAGTTGGAGGTCTGCTCATTTATACATCTTTCCTACATGGTACTTCCCTACTCTTAATCAGCAGGGGTGGGAAGTCAGGGGAGAATCTTGGAGTTGTATGCTCTAACTTCCCCACTGATGAAATGTGGTCCTTGCCTTCTTTCAGGGGTATGGTTGAAGAAACCAGGCAAAGTCCTGGATTCTCAGCGTATATTCTTGTAGAGTATGGTTTGTTCCACATAACATCTAGCAGGCACCAGTTAAATGCCAGTAGCAAGCATATATCAAATGTATAGTGTTTTCTAGGTACTGTACTATTATTCCCTTATAGCTCACAAGTTCTAACGTCTATCTCAAGGTTTCTAATTCACAAAAAGGATTCATAAAACTCAATAGTAGGCTATACTCATGGCTAAAGTTTATTACCATGGAACACTATTCAGCCACAAAAAAAGATGGTAACTTCACATCCTCTGTATTAACCTGGATGGAGTTGAAACACATTTTTCTTAGCAAAGTATCACAAGAATGGAAAAGCAAATATGCAATGTACTCGATACTAATATGAAGCCAGTAGACAATCTAATTCACACCCACAGAGGAGAAAAACTCATTTCAATTCAAACTGGGGGGAGGGGGAACGGGGAAGGTTGATGTGCTCCCTCTAAATGGGCACAATGGAGGGGTGCACCTTTTGGGTGTGAGACATAACCATGAAAGGGACTCTACCTAACAAATTCAAATATTGTGACTTGGTTGTTTGTACTCTCACATTAACTGGAAATAAAGAAATTAAAAAAACACAAAATTATACAGACCAAGAGCAACAGAAAAAAGATATGTATTAGGAGGGGTGTTATGCCTGTGGCTCAAAGGAGTAGGGCACCAGCCCCGTATGCCAGAGGTGGCAGATTCAAACCTAGCCCTGGAAAAAAACTGAAAAAAAAAAGATAAGTATTAGGAGAAATCCAGAGAGGTTGGACACAGGCTTTTGAGTACTTCCCCATGTGGGGGCCACACAGGATGTGCTTCTCTCTAGCAGCCAATTACATGGATGTGTACAAAATGTTTCTGCCTAGAGAATTCTGTTCAAACCTCTGGGTCAAATCTTTGGGTCAAATCTCTGGGTCTGAAGCTCTGTTGAGAGCCAGCCACAAAGGGACACCATGCTATGTGACCAGCCATGGCAACTGAAATTTAGGGTCCCAACAATGAAACTAAATGCACATCCTGTATGTTGATGTTTGTGCAAATTAATCCTGACAAGCTAATATAGCATGGTCCATTGCTTCAGGTATATACAACATAATTATCAACCATTAACACAAGAACATTGCAAGCCTATGCTCCCAGGGGTTGGCCAAACGATCCAGGTTCCTTTGAAGACATACAAGGACTGAACAGCCAGACCTACTAGGTTCATACTCCCCTCACACTTCACATATTTTATTTAAACTCTCAATGGTTCCCCATTATCTGAGGTATTATATGAGTAAACTGAGGCTCTGTGACATGTTAAGATCACATCTAGTAATTGTTCAAACTGAGATTAGAATGACTGGATCACATGCAACCTTTTATTGTGCTGTACTGCATTCTGGCTATCAGCTACTAGGGTGTCGTTATCCACAGATCACTCAATTCGTTGGTGTGAGCAAAATCCCTACTAGACCCAATCCACAACCTGCTATGGGCATATAAAGATGTCTTATGTTTATTTAGATCTCATTTCTTCATGGTCTGTACTCCTAAATAGATGGCCGCCTTCCAGGCGCTGTACCTTATAAGGTCATCATAAAATTTTCAGAGAGCACAAAGCAACTTCTTATGCATAGAAGTTTAAGAGACAAGGTCAGGCGAGGTAGCTCACACCTGTAATTCTAGCACTCTGGGAGGCCAACATGGGTGGATTGCCTGAGCTCAGGAGTTGGAGACCAGCCTAAGCAAGATTGAGACCCTGTCTCTAGTAAAAATAGAAAAACTAGCCAGATGTGTGGTGGGTGCCTATAGTTCCAGCTACTCAGGAGGCTGAGGCAGGGGGATCACTTGAGCCCAAGAGTTTGAGGTTGCTGTGAGCTATGATGCCTCAGCACTCTACCCAGGGTAAAAGAGTGAGACAATGTCTCACAAAAAAAAAGAAAAGTTTTAAGAGACAATATATGGGCTCAGTGCCTGTGGCTCAAGTGGCTAAGGCGCCAGCCACATACACCTAAGGTGGCGCATTCGAATCCAGCCTGGGCCCACCAAACAATGACGGCTGCAACCAAAAAAAAAAAAAAAAACAGCCAGGCCTTGTGGCGGGCACCTGTGGTCCCAGCTACTTGGGAGGCTGAGGCAGGAGACTCACTTGAGCCTAGGAGTTGGAGGTTGCTGTGAGCTGTGATGCCATGGCACTCTACCCAGGGGGACAGCTTGAGGCTCTGTCTCAAAAAATAATAATAATAAAAAAATAAACATTTGATAAGATTTTTTAAAAAGAGACAATATATGCATTAAATAAGTATTGTGAGAGTTACAGACTTGATTTCCTACTGGAATTACCTATTTTATTTTTAATTTTTATTTCAGATTAATATGAGGGTACAATTGGGTGGCAATGTTTGCATGTGTTAGGTAAAGTCCCTGTTGGAGTTGTGTCCATCACCCAGGAGGTGTGCCATATACCCCTATGTTGTGCCCATTAAGTAGGAGCACACCATTCCCTTGCCCTCCTCTCCTCTACCCCTTCCCTTCTCCCCATCCCCTCAGCTTGAATTGAATTGAGTTTATCTCTTACGTGGGTATACATTAGATCATCTACTGGCTTCATGTTAGTATTGAGTACATTGGACATTTGCTTTTCCATTCTTGTGATACTTTGCTAAGAAGAATGTGTTTCAACTCCATCCAGGTTAATACAAAAGATGTAAATTTTCCATCATTTTATGGCTGAATGGTATCCCATGGTATACATATACCACAGTTGATTAATCCATTCCTGGGTTGATGGGCATTTAGTTTGTTTCCAGGTTATTACCTGTTTTAAAAAGACAAACTGTACAGGAATAAGCTGCAGTTCTAGGTTAGGAAAGCCTAGTCTTTTAACAATTTACAAATGGAAGGAAAAGTTATAATCAAAATTTTAAACTGCTTAGTATGAACAAAGGTCAAGCACATCAGAAGTAAAGTAAGTAGTATAGTGAACCCCATATAACCATTCCTCAGATTCAATAATTACCACTACATGACCACTCTTGCTTCATTTATACTCTTATCCATTCCCGCTCCCATTTATTTCTCTAAAATATAATTACTTTTTAAAATATGTAAGCAATATCATTATCTCACCTAAAAAATAATTATAATTTCTTTGTATCAATTATCCAGTCTGTGTTCAGATTTCCCCGTCCATCTCCTAAAGTTATTACAGTTGCTTTGTTCAAATGATACTGATCAATATTTGAAAATATTGAAGACTAAGTTTCTTTTAAATCAAAAGTGCAATTTCAGCCAGATACAGTGGCTCACACCTGTCATCCTAGCGCTTTGGGATGCCGAGGAATAAGAATCACTTGAGCTGCTCGGCGCCTGTGGCTCAAGCGGCTAAGGTGCCAGCCACATACACCTGAGCTGGGGAGTTCGAAGCCTGGGCCCACCAAACAACACTGAAGGCTGCAACCAAAAAATAGCTGGGCATTGTGGCGGGTGCCCACAGTCCCAGCTGCTTGGGAGGTGGAGGCAGGAGAATCACTTGAGTCCAGGAGTTGGAGGTTGCTGTGAGCTGTGGTGCCACAGCACTCTACCCAGGGCAACAGCGTGAGGCTCTGTCTCAAAAAAAAGAAAGAAAGAAAGAAAAGA